AGGTCATAGAGACTTGCAAGTTGGTTCCATCTCCACTAATGTGGCTATGCCCGATCCATTGGGACCATCCCCGAAGTTCAATGACCTTTGGAAGGGGTAGGGTTAGGGTTGTGATTAGTGTTTGGTTTTTGAGTTGTGATTAGGGTTAGGGTTAGGGATGAAAACCTATTGGAGATCAAGTTGTTTTAACAAACAAAGAAATGTCAGTTTGATATTGTACATTCGACCATAAACTTTGTTATAAATAACTATTTACAAAGAAAACACAAATAAAACCAAATTCATAGAACTGGAATAAAATAATCTGACCAGGCTCTAGAGATCTGATTATATACATATATATTATCATATCTGTTTTTCTTTGGACACTGTAGACCTCACAGTGAACAGTTTCCAGTGGAACTACTTTCTCGTAAGGAAGTTATTTTACTGGCATCTCTGGATCACTGTTGATTTCTATTTGACAATCATTTTAAATTACTGAACAGCACAAATAGGAATCCATTAACTCCCACTGTTCTGGGATCAGAAATCTAAAACTTAAGCTCAGGAGGACATGATATTTACAATCTGGCCTCATCTCCTCCCTCAGCATATTTGCTGCTAATAAGACAGTGGGGTGATGTACTGTGAGTATTCTCAGTAATGTTTGGGAGCGTTCTCAGGAGAGTGTGATTAAGTGTAGTGTAAAGGTCAGCGGGCTGGCACAGCCGGGGCCTCACCAGGAGCTCAGCGCACTGAGCTTTCATATTTAATAACAGGTTGGAGTATGGGAGGAAAAATCATAACCCATTCTGTCAATCTAAAGCAGCACAGACTGATGTGTAACTTCCCAAGTTGCCACGGTAACCCTGACGGATGCTGACGGAATCTAATAAAAGGAGAAGGAAGGTGTGAGGGGATTGATGTGTGTCCTCTCACACAAACACACATGTAGACACGATCCCTCAGGCTGAGTGATTGCAGAGCAAAGGGCTGAAAAGCGACTTGATGAGATCCTGAGAGCAGCGGAGGAGGGCGAGGCAGCGAAGGGGAATTGAGGTTTCAAATCGGACAATGGCAGCTGGGATCAAGTGGGTACAAGAGTCTGTGGCCTGACCCCTGCCACAGTTTAACTGGGCTCATTGTGCCGCTCCGAGACCAAAGCTTTCTTTTAATTCCCTACCTCATCTCAGTTCATCACAGTAACAGAGACCAGAGACAATAAGACCTTCGGATCTTCACCCTGTCCTGTGAAAACACTGTTGGTGGCCAGAGACTCACACTCTTGTCTGAACCTGTGTCCTGTCGTCTGTGTTTTATCTCAATCTGGTTTTTGATTCAAACCATAAAATTCAATGTAACATTAAAACAGGACATCTGTGAAATCTAAAAACTATTTGAGTCTTTCACAGAAATATCAGTGTCGACTTCTATGTTTGATGATATGAAAGCTTTTACAGAATGAATAATTCAGGCATGATGTGCATTTAAGTTTATATTTTACATTCAAAAAGTTTATTTTCTGTAAGTATCCGTTTGTTTTTATGAATAGAAATTTGTAATAGTTTCAGTTTAATTGTAAAATATAAATTTCTTTGTCATAAGACCAAAATCTGAGGATAATAGCTTTTTTAAATATGTGTCTGATAATATTAATGCTCTAAAATCCATATCTATCAGGCTCGATGAAAAACCTTCATTCTCAGGTTTTGTTTGTACGTGGTTGCAGATGTTGACTCTATGTTCTGTGCGTTGCAGTGCCACGAGGCGTCCATCGCCATCTACAGCAGCATGGAGAACCAGCGGCTCTCTCACTGGGTCTTCATCTCCGTCATCTCCATGATCTTCTGCCTCGTCGTTTACTCCCTCACAGGTCAGACGGGTTTAAACTCTCTCTCTTCTACAAACCTCACAATGCATTTGCAAATCTCTCGAGACACATTCCTCATGCAATATTAGCGATAGAAGAAACAGTGTAAGTAAGATAAGTGGGATCATGGTGATGACTGAATTTGACTTGTTCGTCATGAAGCTGGCTCAGTTTTTAGAAATGTTCCACATCCTCACAGGAAAAGAACCAGAGAGTAGATGAATGATTTTACTGACTTTGGTCTAAATTGATAGTTTCTTTGATGAGAACCTTTGTTCTGCTGCTGCTGGTTCTTCATTCCCTCTTGTTATGATCACTGAACAACAGTCTGCATTAACTCACACCCACACACAGAAAAATTCCCTCTGCAGTTCAAAGCTTCTTCCTTCTCTGAATCAGTTTAATTCTGCAAACTCAGCTTCACTCGCCAATAAGTTGATCTGCCAGGATTTTATCACCATTCACAATATTGATTTTTCCCCCCCTATCATTATATTAACAGAGTCTGGGATTAATTCTGATGAATGTGCTACTCTCATTTAGTTTCTGGCCCCTCAGGATATTTGTTTTACCAGCAGCCAAGAACGACAGACAGAGGCAGAAGGCTGCTTTGTACTGGTACATGAAAATGATTTTAGATTTTCCCCAGTCTCTGTCGGCTGCTGCTTTGAGAGTTAAAGCTTTATTTTAAAGAACTAGTGCGATGAATTAGTGGTGTCTTTATGCACAACACAAAAAAAACATATTTATTGACTGACCATGTTCACATCACGATCAATAATTGTTATTTTAATTATTTTTGTTTTAATTATAGTGCTGCTCAATAGAACATCAATTTCACCTGATCAAAATCCCAATAAACACATCTTCCTGTCACTGTTTGTGCTGAGTCGTCTCTCTCTCTCTCTCTGTTGCAGGGGTTTATGGGTACCTGACATTTGGTAAGGACGTGAAGGCCGACATTCTAATGTCGTACACGGGCGACGACGTCCTGATGCTCATCGCTAGGCTGCTGTTCGGAATCTCCATCATCACCATCTATCCCATCATCCTGCTGCTGGGCAGGTGACGTCAGATCACTTCAGCGTGAACTCATCAAGAGTTTCTCTTCTCACTGTTTTCCTTCAATTCAAAGATCCACACAACTATTATCATTCTTACTGAGAATGTTTTTTCTTTATCTTTATCCAAGCATGTGGTCTTTCAGTTCGAGAGCAGCACTCGCTGATTTCACATTTAGATTATTTTGTAATGTTTTATCTCAAAACTCTGCGCTCACACTGAAATATAACGAATGAATAAAGAGAGAAAACCCTCTGAGCTAAGGAGGTTATGTTTTTGTCGTGTGTCTGTCGCGCTCTCTGTTCGTTAGTTTGCAGGATCACCATGAAACTATGGGTCAAGGAAGAATCCATTTCATTTTTGGTGCAGATCAGATCCAACAATTATTTTTCTTTGACATTGCAAGAGAAAGTGTTTTTCAACATTTATGGATCTTGATGAAAAAGAATCAGGCAAGTTTAAGGGACAGATTTTAAAGAGTTTGTAGATTTTAGTGCGGCTTGATTGAACTTGTGTTGTCCTATGTGCTCTACTGAGTGACATCCGAGCTGTTTCTAAATTTGACCTGATGTGAGTGTAGTTTTAAAGAAAATAAGATTAGCGGAAGATTAGACTCATCCTCTCTCTATCATCTCTCAGATCCGTGATCCAGGACCCCCTGTTGAGTTGGCGGCGGAGGCGTTACGGCGTGGTGACGGCGAACTTTGAAAGCCGCAGCCGCTACGCGCTGACGGCTCTGTGGATCACAGTGACTCTGCTCATCGCCGTCTTTGTACCCGACATCAGCAAGGTCATCAGTGTCATCGGGGGCATCAGCGCCTTCTTCATCTTTATCTTCCCAGGTAACACTCCGGTCACCGATTCATACTCTGTCAGAAGTGATGTGATGTGTTTAACCTTGTGTCTGTGTCGGAACAGGACTGTGTTTGATTTTCGCCATGCAGTCGGAGCCTGTGTCCTGGAGGACCAGGTGAGAACAAATGTCACTGTTTATAAACTGGAATTAAACATCTGCTTCACCTTCAAATACAGTTTTTTTTACTGACTTTTAAAAGAACGTTTATTCACGTCAGTGTTTTCTTCTCTGCAGAGCCGTCCTCACAGTTTGGGGAGTCGTGACGCTGATCTGCGGAGCCTTCATCTTCGGCCAGAGCAGCACCATCGCCGTCATGCAGCTCCTCGGAAAGATCTGACTATTCCGCTCCCCTCGCAGATTCAGGTGTTGTCATGGAGACTGTTGTGACCAGATTGGAACTTTCTCGCCCCCTTTCTCCTCCTAAGAGAGCCCATGTTGAGTTATGGCCACCGCCGACTCTTTACAAATGAACATGACCCCTGAAGAATCAAGAGCCCCTCCTTCCCTCTGTCAGCGCCGCTGTGTTACGTTCTCTGTGGTCACCTGACCGCCTGAGGACGAGCAGCGTCTGTGTCCCGTCATGCCGAGATGATCTGATTGAAATCCTCAGGTATTTCTGCACTTTGTTTGTTTTGTGTCGGTGCAGATTTGTACATATCAGTATTAAACATCACTGTGTTCAGTTTGTGGGTGAGATGAAGAGCAAGAGTTTAAATTATCAGTAAAATAAAAAGAACATTTCCAGGACCCGGAGGATTCCACTGCTGTGAGGCAGAAGGTCTGAGTGTGTATGTATAAAAAGAAGAGCTGCTTCCTGACACGTGATCCGTCAGTGATGATGTGTATGAAAACGTTGCTGTGTTCATTCTCTGCTTTTATTGAGTGAACAGTGGAAATAAAACACCAAAGTCTGGTGGCATGTTTGAGCAGCAGCTGGAGTTATGTGTAAAATTCACATCATTTACACTAATTTACAAAATGAGTCAAACTTATATTTTAAACCTTCCAAGTCTTTGCTCATCAAGAAAGATGCTAACGACAGAAATAGGAAATCATGTGAATTTTAGGTTTAAGTCGACCTGCATCATAGTTGTGTTCCTGATGCACAAACATACTAACCAACAAAAATACAGCAGAGGTGAAAACATACGTTCTTAGGAGGAGTTGATAAATAATCAAGTCAATAAAGATTGTGAAAACCAAAGGAGAAAAAAAATGTTAGGTTCAAACAGTGCTGATAAAAGTATCATCCAGTACAAGTTCTTCAGATCAGATAAAATTAAATTAGAATCCTCGAACCTTAGAATAAACCTGAGTAGACTGAGGATTCATAGAGACACAAGATTAATCATTAACGTTTTTCACCTTGGAAACACAAACGTTTCAAATCAAAGCCACAAAACAGTCTCAGTTTTCTAGTTTTATTGAATTGCATCACTCTACATCATCTAGAATTTCAACAAGATATTCTTTAAAGACCAAATATAATACTTGCATCCCTGCAATAAGTCTCTACACTTAAGAAGAGAAAGCCGTTTACTGAAACATACATTAAGAATTAATATTTCATTAAACATTGCCATAAAAGTGACTCTTCATTCATGTATGCCATTTTTTTTTCTAGTCATATAGTGTATATTTCATATAATAGATTTTAGTCTCTGTCTTCTTCATAGGAATACTAGAAAAGAAAGAAGGTAAGAAATGCACAAAACCCATTGAAGAGTAGCATGGCCTAATACTACAGCAAAGAAGTTACTGGACATTCAGTTGACATGCACTCAGTTAAAGGATAGAAAAGAACACACCCACGGAGGGGAAGAGTTACGGCCTAGATGTCGCTTCTGTTCTCGATTGGCTCGGTGTCATGTAACACGTGTTGAGGTAAACGCTTCCTGACCACCAGCGTTTCTACGGCTACAGAAACACGACCTCCACGTACTCTCTGCCCTCTCTCGTGTCGCCAGGGAACATTCGATCAAGGCCAGTTTCACTACATTTCACTCTTTTCATTGTATGACGAAGCACATGTTGCACTGAGGAGTCGTAGGATAGAATAAGGGGCAGGTGGCACAGTCAGAGGGACATTTAGGAATGTTACAACAGGAAACAGCATCGGCAGTTCTGCCGATCTACCTCACATGCACGACCCAACCAGGCCGGGCGCGACGCACAGGAAACCCCCCTCTCGATTAGAGCGCATTGGGCTGCGTTCAGCTGGGCTCCAGTACTGTGATACTATGGCTGTAGTTAAGTCACCGACAGGTAAACATTAATCCATGCACTATGGCTTTATGTTTCTGTTCAGAGCAGCTGATGTGACCGTTTTTAGCTGCACAGGAGCGATTCGTTGATGAGAAGGTTGAAGGACCATGTGGAGTTGACTTGGGAACAAAAAGTTGCTGTTGCTCGCTCAGTAGCTGCAGAATGTGTCGCTGTGGAAGCAAATTAAAATAAAGCTGATCCATGGAGGGTTTTCAAAGTAATTTACGACTCCTAAACAATTTGGTTTCTCGTCCGTATTCTATTTCACATACTGTCTCCACCTCCTAGTGTTCAATGTCTGGAAATGCAGTTCTCACGAATGGCTAGAGACGCCACTACAGGCATGGGAGAAGATCTAATTTTTAGTAATCTAAATTTTTTCAGGAAATTGAAATTCGCAAATGGTCAAACTGGCAGAACAGGTTTATATTTAAAGATACAATAACAATGATTTAAGATCAACAAATTAATTTCAACGTATGTGGAGGCAAATCCCTGATCGAAAAAATAATCGGAGATTATAATAGGTTGCCATAGGAATGAATATAGCTATGTAGAAACAAGATGGCAGCACCTGATATTTTGGATTAGTGGGAGGAAGTTAAAAAAACATCATTAAAAAACTGGCCCACTTCATGTTGCTCTGCAGCGCTCCTGGTGGTCAAAAACTCCACAGAATACCTCATCGACTCTTGGGTATAAGTTTCATAGATAAAGCCTTTGCATGCATGTTCTACAAGTCTACTGTGATATACATTTATTTTACAGTATATGTTATAGTTACTCCACATATCTCTGCCCTGCTCAATGCAGCCCAGCGCTCTAAAAGAAGAGAGATCAACATTATACCAGTGAAGCTGTATCCTGACTCACTGCTACCACAGTTCTGTCATTCACAAATGAAAAAGAAAATAGACCCAGCACCGAGGCGGATGGTAAGATGGCACCTTTTTGAAAGTAGCTAGAAAGAGCTAGAAAGGAGCGATTCATGAATAATAAATCTTAAACCAGATAAACAGTAAGACTATATATATATATTTATTTCTAAATACTCTCATCATACTCAATAACCTCTAATATACTGTATCTTCAAGTCACAATATTCACTCATTTTTACATTGTGCTTTCTGAATGAGAGTCTGATTGTTGCGTGGAGGGCGTACAGTGGCGTAGGTGGTGGTGAGTTCAGGTGAGATTACGAGTTCAGTCCATCCCAGGGCGATGGGGTGAGATTTGGGGCAGTCAGAACAGATGCAGAGGTGGGTCTGATCAATTCACAGTTCATTTAACTTTTTCTGCATATGTCCCAGTTTATAATGCACTGAAGTGAAGAACACGTGATCGAGTTTATGTTTGATTTACTGCAGAGGTTTCAGTCTACTTTTGTATTTTTGATTTGTGGGGGAAAAAAACCTCTGCACTGAAGCTCTTCTGTTTTATTTTTTTTGGGGCAACAATTAATAATATATAATGAAATATTTCTTGTGGATGGTTTCGCCTGATGACTGGAAGATCAGACCCATCATGCATCTGATTCTGACGGCTGAGATCTGCACTGCCAGTGATGCAGGTTTCCATGACGCCTCCTGTTATAGGTAGTGTGACCCTTCATTTACATGACTTTTTTTGCACTTTTAGGTCAATAGTGGAAATATACGTCTTCATTGTGTGTTAGAAATGCTAATGTGGTTGATCGGCTACGGCACATACAGTGGTGTGAAGTCTTATTTCTAGATGTTGATAACTGCATAAGTCTGGCGTTGAGAAATCTAACGCTGTCTGTGAAACTGTGTCAATACGTAACTGCAACACAGGACTGGTGCTGCATAACCTGCGGAGAGGCCGGACACTGAAAGACCCCTAGTGGGCATTTCCCGGCTTACTGGGAGTTTACGTCACATCAAACAAAGGAAAGTCGCGTTTTAATAAACCCTTTTGAAAAACCTCCTCTAGCATGTGGTGATGTTTAAGGCTTTAAATTCAATGTCGTTCGGATGGGTGTGTCTGTTTCTGATGACGTTGTGATTCAAAGAAACTGTTGAGACTGTTACAGCTGCTGCTCAGCTCCTGCTGAGGAAAACTGTGCACCGTCGCACTAAAATATGTCAATAAATACAAATATAATCATAATAGACCAACATTTGCATTATGTACAATCTCCACTAGACTCACACAGCTAATAAGCTACCCATTGCCCAACTCAGACATGGAATACACAGACGGACGGGAGGCATAAATAAAAGCGTGTTCAGCTGCATGGGGAACCGTGAGGTGCTGCCCGTTTCTCTCCGCTCCTCTGTCTCATGGTAGCAGCAGAGTCTTGTCAGAAATTAACCTCTGACAGCAAAAGGATTCATTCATGTCACAGCTAAAATGACCCAGAGGTCAATGCTGAGAAATTCAAACCCCAAAGTGTTCAATGAAATAAAAGCTACAGGAAGAAATATAACTTAATGTTTCACCACCTGCATGAGGTTTTTTTTTTTTTTTGCTCATGACACTTCACTGTGTTTTTTAGGTGAAAACGTGTTTCATGAGTTCATACTTTCATGGACATTATTCTCACAGCAGCCACTGTGACGATCTGAAGGTTTAGAAATGAGCCAATCACATGTCAAACAGCAGCATCGTATGATCATGACTGAAGTGGTGCTGATATTCTGAACTGTGTACGATTGTACTGACCTAACTTTTCTCACTCTCCTTTGTGTGGATGGTAAAATTACAAAGTTTGCATTTCTCTTCCACAACTTATTCAAAAACATTTTTACCTTAATTCTAAATTCTCTGTATTTGTGTATGAGTATGATGTGAACTGTAATGGGACCCCGTCAAAGAGTTTTCTGTCCCCAAGCACTAAAGAGAAAACTTTTAGAGTCATTTGTTCCAGTTAAATATTTAAGAGTGGGACCACAGGACCCTGGGAACGTAAAGTCTTATTCATGCTTCTGCGGTGTAGCCTACACGTAGACGTGTACCATACGCAGAACCCTGAAGTGCACCTCCCCAAAAACGTAACTACACATCGAGGCGACGCAGACCACAACAGCTGTGATTGGTCCGCTTGGTAGCATCGCATTTCCGGCAGACAGTATTTCCAGAATCTCCTGCTTCACCTCACTCGGTTTAACGGTGATACAGACCATCTACTCTGACGTCTTTCTTGTCTTTGTTGCAGTTCTTTAAGAAAGAAGCAATTGCTTGTCAACATCTATAGGCTTCATGATAACTCTTGCCATTGTTCTGAAGCAAACTGAGACGCTAGAGAATTTCTAAATAAGCGGATCGGAAACTCAATACTGTAGCATAGAAACTCTAACGCCACTAGTGTTTTGTCGGTTGTTATTGCAGAGCAACAAACACACAACTGCGGACAACTATGAATGCTCACCTAAAAAGACTTGTGCGTGGCTACGTGTTTACCTACGGCTTAGCTTTGACCACGCAGAACCATGAATCTGCCTTAAGACCATGGGAACATAGGAACTGCAGATATTAAGATCCTGGGAACCATAAGACCTTGGTAATACAGGACCCTGTGATCATACGACCTGAGGAACATTGGACTCTAAGAACATCTTGGAATTAACTGTCAGAGATTCTGACTCCCTACAAAATCGGGTTGGGTCAAAAGACCACAAAGCTATATTCACAGACGCCAGTGATCTGGCTAATCCTCGAGCTAACTTCAAGCTTTCAGTTTGTTCCACGTGATCTGTTGTTTGTCCTCAATTACTCAACATGTGGATTTCATAATGGCTGATGTGAGAAAAATGTCCAAACCATTTGTTCATTTACAAAACAACAGAATTATTAGAACAATGAGAACAAAAGTGGAAAGAGCAGCTACTAAGAAATGACAGCTACATACAGAAGAGCTTTTTATGGTGAATTCAAACTTAACTCTCAGGGAGAAAATAAATGAAATAATACTCGACCCATCTACTGTTACTGCTACATGAACAACTCAACCCCGGGGTTCCTGCTACATGACGAACTCCACCAGGCTCAAAGCTACCGGAAACATGAGCATTAAAAATAATCCCAAAAAATCTCCAACCAGCAAACTACCATGGTGAGATGCAGACGCTTTAAGCTTTTTTTTTTTTTTTTTTTTTTTTCATCCTCTGTTCGGCCTGTACCGCCTGGAAGCTCAGTGTGTTTCTGCTTTTAAATCTCACGTTGTCAAAATGCACTGTTTGTTCAATTTTCACTGTAGTTGACACCATCGACTTGCACTGTGTAAACATGTACTTACAAAAAGAGTTGAGGAATGTGAGGGTGGAGAGAGGAGAGGGCGTGAGAGTGGGTGAAATGCAGGGGGAGTGGGTTTCAGGAACGGAGGGTGGGTCGGAGAGGGAGGAGTCTTGGCGTGTGGCGGAAAATCTTCATGCTCAGTCCCTGTTCACGCTGCACCAGGCGGCTGCAGAGACAGAGGACGACAGGTGAGGAAGAGGTTAAAGAGGGAAATGAGACAGAACGGTAACTCTGACTCCAGAGCATCATCATTATTATTGTTATATTAACTGTCGCTGCTGTCATTAATAACATCTTTTCATCTAGAATTATAACAATCAGTCTGAAGGAGCTTAAACACAATGGTTGAAGTGTTGAAGTATCGAGCAGAAGCTTACAATCTAAGTATTCTGAGGAAAATGTTTGTGTCGAGATCCAGAACGCTCTTATTTTGAAAACATGAGACAAGAAGCACTTGTGTTAAGCCTGTGAGACACGAGTCACAGCCTCATCAACGTTCATCATCACAACCATGAATGACTGAAAAGACGTCACGTGAGAAGAGATAAAGTACAGACATGATCCATATTTTACCGTCCAGATTACAACTGATAATAGTAAATGTCAGAAAATGATTAAATTATCGTGCATCATTCATTACGACAATTATCCTACATCTGGCAAAACTGTGGTTACGCAACTTTGAGGTCTCGAAGTTACTTTGTGAAGTGCCTTGAGATAATGTGTATTACTATTTGGCACTGTTCAAATAAAACTGAACTGGAATGAGCGGAAAAAGATTGAATGGAGATTGAGCAGAAATTTGGCAAGGCAGCGAAAAACAGAAGTGTGAGGGCAGAGAGAGATGAGAGCGGAGGGAGGGGTGAGGAGAGCTGGATAAAAAACGAGACAAGAGAAGAAGCATTAATGGCAGATTGCCTGGCATCAGATCAGCTCACTGACAGTCGGCTCCTCGCTGAGTGGACGGATGTGAGTCGTCTATAATGACGTCATTTTCAGAGCCAGGATGCTTTAACAGACTTCTTCCACAAAGTAATCACTTTCTTAGGATTGTGAGGAAACTGATTTATCAAAATAACTAGTAATTTTGCAGCATTTTCTTATTTTATGTTCATTAATGACTAAATGTTGTTTTGTTTCACTGGTTTCAGTTCAGTGCTGAGAAATCCAGTGATTTTTGACCAAAATTCACACATTTCAGTTTTGTGGATTTTGCTGTTTTCTCTGTTTCATATCTTTATTAACAGGCAGGTTATGTTTTCATTGCTGTTCGTCAGCAGGATTACGCAAACTCTACTGAACCAGTTTTCTTGAACCTTAGTGGAAGGATATGGGGCCAAGGTAGAAACCATTAATGTTGTGGATTCGTTTCAGGAGATGGATCCAGAATTTTCTTTTTCTTTCTTTAATGTTGCCAGATTTTCTCCAGAAATAAAAAATAGATCATAGAAGTCTGCCCTTAAACCTTAACTTAAACTTCACAACTTTACTATTATGTATGTGTAAGCACAGTCTAATTTGTGTATAATTTTGATAGTTAAAGAATTATTTGAAGGGGGAGAGGGATTCATGAACAGCATGAAATAGCAAAAATCCTGGTTTTTAATCCTAAATATGGATCATGTTCTTTTCTCTGGAGAAAAAACTAAACAGATGTTCATGTCTGAAATCAGTGAACCGCCCCTTTAACTGCTGATAAAACACAATTCAGTTGCCCTCATTTTATTGTGTAGTTTTGTTGTGTAGTATTTCACCACTCACCTGGCACGGCTACAGAGGACATGGCCTCTGGCTGGCACAGTGTGTCCACCTTCACATGCTGAAAGGCTTTGTTGGGGGCAGACTGGAGGTGTCTGCAGTGAGAGGGTGAGAGCACACATCAGTTTTACACACATCACAGCTGCAGCCACTCATAAACGTGCACGCGGGGTGCACGCAGCCTCAGAGCGCTTAGCACGGCCCTCAGGCTTTACTGTAAGAGTTGAAATATTAATGGCGGGGAGACGCTGGGAGCAGTGGAGCAGAAACTCCGATCAGCAGGCAGCTACATCAGCAGCCTCTCCTCGTGCCCAGCACCATCACTAAATCATGACGACCCGACGCATCTTGAGTGCTTCAGCAACTCCGGGCCGAGTGAATGGCTGAAGAATGTTAATTAAATGCGGATGGGGGAATTTTTCCAACAAGCTCATGACAGTAATGGAGGAAAAGAGAGCGCTCTTTATTTGGCAATCGCCAATCAATAAAAACAATGGCCGGAAGGAACGGCGTGCTCAGCTCCAAAAAACTTTCAGAGGAGGCGGAGTGCTGAGTCAAAGGCATTTTCAGAAACAAAATGAACGTCCACACTAGGTAATGACTTTTAATACTTTCAAAGTGCATCAGCATTTACTCAGGTTTAATTCTGACTGAAGCTTTGGGTCATTTTTAGAGCCAAAACAGGACAGCTCATTAATTTGCATTGACTCTTTGAATTCGTTTTTTAAGTCAGAAAGCTCTAAACACTGACATGATTGACAGATGCCAGTGAGGATTGAAATGTTCACTTGACGTGATTGAAAGCTCACCTCTTCCACTCCTCCTCTCCGTCCCAGAACTCGTAGACGACAAAGGATAAACCGTCCGGCAGACGCACGGCGGTCACACTGGAGACAGAGAAATAAAGGAATGAGCAGGGATGAGAAGAAGAGATGTATAAGGTAGATTGATGGCGGAGGAGGAAAGGGTGTGAGGTAAGGAAAGGAAGAGAGGACAACAAAAGTCTCATTAAAGAAACTGATTAAATAATAGTGATGTTTTCTATCCCTGCACAATATTGAAGCACTTGTCAACAAGATGCATGAATGGAAATTACCACAATTATCCAGGGTAACAATGTGAGAATAGATCACTGAAAATGGAAAATGTGATTTGACCATATGAGAAAAAGATGATAATCAACTAAGAATCCCGCTCAGACTCCAGAGTGTGCAGGGGTAGTTTATTGTTTAGAAGATGGGCAGGTGGAAGCTGCTGGTAAGAGAAGTGAACATAAAGTAAATCAGAGAAGTTTGAACGAACACAGTTTTATCCCATTTTCCTCTGACTCACGTTCTGTGTTTGCTCTTTTCTGCACCTGTTTTTTTTTTTCTGGCTCCAGACACATCGATGTGAGAGCAGTGCAGCAGCTGAGCTTGTGTTTATGCAGATCAGGTGCTGCAGTGTAGTTTGAAACTACACTGTTGTAGTGCCTCTCATCCCAAATATAATTTTCATTTAAGTTTTTCAAAAGTTAACTCTGAATGAACCTGCCGCTGTCAACACTGCCAGGCTCATAATCTGGATACGTCAGTCGCAGGTGCAGCCTTGTAAATACCAGGAGAGGTTTAGTTTACGTGTTAATGTTTAGTTTGTTCAGATGTTGTTCAGAACTCGTTTCTGGAATTTTTAAGATCTTTGGACTAAATATCAAGTATTTTGAGTTTTCGAGTACGAGCTTCAGTGAACTTTGAACGAACAGGTGAACAGGCTCTTTGTGCAGAAGTCGGTCTTTACTGCAGGTCACTTTAACAGTGAGCATCATTTGCATTTTATATCAATGCAAAACTAATAAAAGTAAAGTAACATAAGCAAACTGCAGGAGTGAGTCTCAGTAAGGTCACAGGCAGCAGGATCAGGAGTCGTAGCCACAGGCCCTGAGTCTGCTGTCTGAATCTGTGAAGCCCTGAAGCCCCCTCTCTTCTGCCTTCTCCAGGTTTCAAGGAGAAACACAACTGTAGGAGAATATAATGTAGAAGTTTGTCGAGGTTTGTAGAAGTGAAAGGTCTCAGCAGTGAGCACATAGAGCTGCAGTACAGACCCTGAGGGGGGAGCGTGTCAGTCAGTGTGTCGCCACCTGCTCCACTTAAAACCTTTTGTCAGAGTTGGACTTTAGAGAACGAGGATAAAACAGAATAGGGAAAAAAAAAGGATATTTGCTGGAGGCAGAACTTCCCAGTGTTAAACTCCATTCACATAAAACACCGGGAGAAAAGATGAGTTTGCATGAGCTTTCTGAACGAGAGCTGACTCAGTAAATCTGGTAGAACATTTTTGAGGTCGCTTAAAAAATGTCAGAGGGATTTGACAATGCTGAAAAGCTGAAGGACAAAATACATAAAATGTGACATTATCAAATAAAACGTGATAAGAAATATAAGCGTCATTAGAAAATGTGCCATTGTGACATTTAGTTAAAGTCCATTGTGCGATAAAACCACAGAAAATAAATATATATAGAAAAAATAAAATGTATAAATTAAAAAAATATAAGATCAAGCAAAGCAAATACAAAGCGTTAGATAGATGAAATAAGTTCCGCAGTTTTTTTAATTAAACAGGTAATCTATGCCTATACTTCACAACACTGCCCCCTCTGGTGACTTACTGCCATATCACTCATGTGATTCTGCAGTATTATCTTTACTTGGTGGTAGGTTTATATATATTATAAGTACACTGAGGAGTGTATAAACAGACTGAGTGGTGTATAAGTACACTGAGGAGTGTATAAACAGACTGAGTGGTGTATAAGTACACTGAGTGGTGTATTTTTTCATTTTCAATGTGACCAGCTCTAATCATTTGAGAGTAATAATAAAAAAAAGGCCGGAGGCTTTAAAAATGATGTTATGACTCTGTTGTTCATCCCTGAACCTGTGGAGGGCGCTGGGGGCCAGGCTGCAGTTGGATGCCAAACGTCTCCACCAGGCTTTAAATGAAATGACAATAAGTTGCGTGAGCTCTGCTGGAGGAGATAATTAAGTGCTCGTGTGTAATTGCACACAGAAAGAAAAGGAAGGAGGAAAACAAATAACCTTTAAAGATTAGAGTTAGTTGAAGATGAAATAATGAAATGAGGAGGAGACGCCCAGTGACACTAAAGAAAGAAAGAGAGGCAGCACACAGGAGAAATGAAAAGTAATGAGGAGGATTCTCTCCGTCAACAAACCGTGTTCATGCTCATACATTATTTACCTCAGCTTCCTACAGGCACTGTGCTGCCTGCCTGCTACTGACACACACAGAAGGTTACAAACCAGGAAGTCTACATCTCAAAACAAACACACAGCAAAAACAGCATCATCTGAACGACTGTTTCTCCTCCACCTGCTATTCACTGACCACAACTTAAAACCTGATCGTCTTTACATATCACAGAAATGGACATAGGCTAGTTCTGGGAAGTGAAGCCAATGTGGAGGTGCGGTGAACCTGCAGAGCGCTAATCGACTGGTTTGCAATAACTGTGTGACGACAGAAATAAAAAATTTAATACAAGATTTAAATGAATTCGGGTCCATTTTTTACCTTAATTGATGCCTCGCTACAAAAGAAGTGACGGTGATTCCAAACAGACGATAATCACGACTCAAGATTGACAGGTGGTATCGTCCAATGGGTGCAGGTCGCAGGTGTATAGGGTGGCTGAGGCTCCACCCCCTGCTCCTCCATATATGTTCACTTATGGTCTCAAAAATCCAAGATGGCGTCGGACAAAATGTCATATTTGAGGCTTCAGAGCAGCAGCTCACAAACCGATGAGTGACGTTGTGATGCGTCGACACTCGGTGCGTATGCAGGTTTTTTACATTTGGGTGAACTTGCTAAAAAATACATTTCACTCTGAACTTTCAGAGGAAAACTTTCTTTTCATTTTTTTTGGGTCACATTCATTACCAGGTACAATCTGTAAAACAGAATCAGTAAACACGTCCACGTTCTGGCAATTACTTTTCTGAATAGTATATTTTTTTACAACAGAGACAGATTTGTAGCTGAGATGACAAAGACTCTCAACTTTCAATGCCTCCATTGTAGCTGTTGTTGATAGTGGAGCTGATTGGTTTCTGCACCTTAACCTAATGTTTCCATTAATGCCGATCGGATCTGGAGCCGATAAATACCTGAGCCTGAAGCGGGAATAATTGGACCTCTGACTGATTGCTGATTGTCCCCTTTCACAGTGAAGACAAAACCCAGGTGGCAGCGGGTGTTAGGGGGGTTTTGTCCTGTGTGACTCACTGAGGTGAAGACGTCATATCTGATAAGAACTGAGCGGTTCAGCTTCCACAGAGCTTGACAATCAATCAGTGTGTGAATAACAAAAACAAATGTTTTTCAAAATGGATGGACGACAAAAAAAAGAGGATTTCCATGATTGTTAGGATTTCTAAAATCTATGATTTAAACGTGATTGATTCTTTTAAAAATTACATTCTTCATTTGCAGGTAATTGATCATGAACTAAAATATTGGGTGACTGAAACATTGACCTCATGATGCTTGATGAAAGATCAGAGAATGAAGATAATATAAATTCATTCTTTGTCTAACCCTAATCCTAGGTGTTGTGATATTTAGACCAAAGTGACCAAACATGTGATATTATTCTATATTTTAATTTATATTTCTTTCCCAATATTGTAATTTTATGTTACGCACATGCAGAACAGACACGCACTCCTCCAGTTTGGTTCCTTCTGTTAAACCAGTGCTGGGCTCAGCTTCAGTGAATCAAGGAGTAATTTGTAGATTGATCACAGAAACCACAGAGGTTTTAAACCTACAGGCTTTCAAAGGTCAAGACGTCCAGTTTCAGGTTTCTGAGCAGAGCCTGTCCCGAGACAGCTGGGTGGAGCTGGTTCACTACAGCGCTGTGACCGAGCAGCACTTCTTCACAGCACAACCATAAACAACAACCCGCTCAGACTCCTAAACCACTTGCCAGCGTCTTCCCGCCCGATGATTTGAGGACATTATTTGCTCTGGAACAGCCTCTTCCCACAGCCACCATATTATTAAAAGATATGCTGTCACTATTCTGCTGGCAGGTCACAAAATGTGGTGAGGAATGAGATATATATAAGAAATATGGACGTATTCTTTAGTTCTATCTCTGAAAGCTTTCTCGTCATTAGTCTCTGTTCTCAGGGTTCTTGCCCTTTTAGAAAGTCACACGTGTTCATTCACGTTGAGCAGAAGCATCTTCAGCAGACCCCCCCGCTGTGTAAGTGGGTCTAACGGCATTATCTCGCCTTTGCACATCTGCACAATTCATTTGTTCCATTTCTTCCTCAGGAACCTGCTTCACTGCCGCCCACACCAACGCTGAGGTTTTGAAGATGCTTTGCTAAAGGCAGATTTACAACTGTACCAGCTCTTACTGTTTGAATCATTTATGTCATTTAGGATCTTAAGCTCTGATAAAATGTTTAGAGACAAAGTTAGCATGGAAATAGCAACATAACTATTTTTAACAGATGGAAGCATTTGGTGGAGGAAGCAGCAGAGCTAACATGGAGAATACATACTGGACCCCGCGGAGTCTTGGGCTATTTAGCCTTTGATTTTGCCTTCATATATCACATGATACATAATTCACCTTCCCTATGTTTGGTTTCTTTTTTTTTTAAGCAACATTAAATGAATAAATGACCAGACAACAAATGTTTCAGTTTGACATTAGACCTAAAAACATGATTAGATCACGTCGGTGTGACCAGAGACTCCAGAGGGTTTACATACATTAGACGAACAGAAACACGATTAAATGAAGGATAATAATGTTAATTTTAATCTGTTACATATGTAAATAGGCAACTGTTTGTTCTTATATTATGTTATATATTATATTATATTGTATAAAGTGGCTTAAATATATTACAAGACTCCAATAAAGTTATCTAAATTATTTCATATAATACATTCTTTGCTTTACAAAGTATTCAAACCTTGGTTCTGTCTCTACACTGCTCTCACAGAACCTTAATCCCAAAGGACAAAATGTTGTAAGTGAGGAGAGAAACTGCAATCCAAATGTAAAAGTGGAGTTAAGTAGAGCCAGAACCTCAAAGTCTCGTACGCAGAATATGACTGTGGACCATGAACACAGCATATTGAGTCTGGGATTTGGAGAAATCTCTCTGGGCATTAGCTGGTCTCACAGCAGCTTGATGCAGGTACAGGAGGTTAATTATATGTACAGCATGTATATATATCCAAGTATATTACATGGGCTGCATCGTGTTAGTATCTCACTTCAGGTTAAGGAACGAATATCTGAGGTCGTGTGAGAAAAGTGAGAAAAACGTAGGTCCTGACACTGAAAATGTAAAATGATAAGGTTCACGGCGCTGCACTGTGCAGCAGTGGTGGTGAAATGTGGAGCAGACTTACTGAAAGCAGTCTCTCTGAGCGGACACGTTCTTCAGGTACTGCTTCAGAGCCTCGCAAAACTCTCCGAGCTTCTTCTGGGAAACCACCATCTCCTGACGAATCAGCAACAAGGACTGCAGAGAGAGAGAGAGAGAGAGAGAGAGAGAGAGAGAGAGAGGGGGGCAGAGGTTCAGTTTACATCAGTGTTTGTGTGGAACAGATAGAAACACAAACTTATCTTAGAAATGTGAAGCTGCTTTGGTTTTGATCAGATGAGATTGACTTCTATCTTCATACTTTACTAATTAAAACATCATCCTCTATAACCCAGATAACTAAAGCAGCGTGTCACTGAGATTTCACGATACACATTCAAACACACACACAAATACATATACATGTGTTTACATGTGTGTGCATTAGTTGTGGTCATACTACACACACACACTCTCTTGTTCTGTCACTCAAGCATGCGAGCACAGTAGAGTACTGGGTTGTCAGAAAGAATCATTGAGGGAAGTAACTGAAAGAGAGAGAGAGAGTATGTGTGTGTGTGTGTGTGTGTGTGTGTGTGTGTAATACAGCAGACACAAGAGAAGTGGTTTGTTGGAAAACATATTGCTGAAAAGTCTGAATTTCTCTCTCGATAAAGGACATCATTAGTGATAATAATAATTGAATTTATAAAGCGCCTTTCAAGAGACCCAGGTCCTTGGGGACAAAAGATAAACATTCTTGTCAAATGAAAGAAAACATTGTTCTCTCTCTGAGGAGCTGACGCCACACTTTGTATTCTAGACAGTTGAAATGTTTTTTCTGCCATTTACTGTGAACAGGCAGACAGGAAATATCAGGATAGAGGGAGTTAGAGGTGGAACCAATGCAAAGATGTGAACCCCATTGAGTGTTGAGGCAAGATCTTGCTTCATGTGCGTGTGCATGTTTATATGCAGAAGCAACAACACAGAAATTTAATGAACGAACAAATTAAAGCAGCAATTTAACAAATTTGCCGATTCCAGTGTCGACTGTATCTGACCCAGCAGTGAATCTGATCATTCCATATCAGAAAAAAGCCAGATGTCTTTTGATCAGTCGACGAGGAGCTTCTGTTTGATCCAGTTTTGGTTTATCTTCTTCTTACACTACTTACCCTGCACTTGTTTTTCTGCTCACTCTCACCTGACCCTTTTTACCGGACCCTCACCCAGCTCCTCTGTCCCTGCTCCCACCTTCCTGCTCCTCCGTCGTCCTCCTCTTTCTTAGCCTCCGCTGATACAGACCAGCCGTCCCTGCAGGCTGCTGTTCCTCATCACTGTCGGGTTCAGTTCTTAATATTTCCCTCCTTTTCCTTGTAATGACAAATGTTCCCAGCTGTCTTTGAGGCACTTGCTGTGATTGTTATCATCAGGATTAGATTTCAGATCATGCAATTCTGGAGTACAACTGGAAATATCTTCTTGTTTAACATCCAGATAAGAGAGCCCTCCAGAATGAGCAGATATTAACTGCGGCTCTTGCAGCTTGTACACATGCTGACTCTGAGTATTCAACACATCTGCATCCACTTGTGTGTTAGTTGGCCTCTATCGCTCTGATTGTCTGTTTTATTGCCACGTAACGACTGTTTATCTCTTGACATCACTGTTTATCTGCTGCCATTATCTTAAATTGCTGTCATGAGGCAGCAGCACTTCTGCAACATTAAGCTGTGTGAATAAAAGCCCAGCTGTTTGTCAGCAGAGGTGTTGCACGTATGTGTGTGTGTAATTTATGACGCAATCATTGCACGGGTGTGTTTGAGCCCATAAAAGTGATTGAACCTGACGGACTTATAACCTCTGTATAGTCTACCTCAAGACATGAGTGAACACACACACACACGCCCCACCAACTCAATTAGAAACACTACATTGCCCAGCAACCTCAGTTAATCGAATCACTACCACTCCATTAACCATCCAGCCTCTTCGACCAAATCACTGCGATTGCATCCGCTCGCCTCCGACACTGTGGCCCTGCAGAGGTGATAAATCAGAAGCCTCTAACTCTGCACCTCTGTCTTCACCGCCCTGCTAACCCCTGTGTTGATGGTCCTTTTTTTTTTTTTTTTTACAGCTGCAGACAGTCCTGTCCACTTTGTGGTTCAGAAACTCTCACACCGGGTGATTTGAACTCCTAAGCCTTGGTTATAGACAGAGAGTGTCAGGTGTAGTTTCAGTTTGGTTGTATTCCTATATTTCTAATAGGAAATCCAGTGAAGCCCTGGATAACTAGTTCCTTCAGAGTTTACTCGTGGAGCACCTCGAGGCTCCCTCCTTGGTCCTTTTAGAATTCTCAGTTAATTTGTTTGCTCTAAGGTATATCCTTTGCTTTGCGTTTCTATGCAGATGACTCCCTGATCTATTTCTCTTAGAAATGTTGGAAACCGGATTTCTCAAAACCTTTATCAGTAAAGATGAAGCAGAAGGTGCAGCGTGTGACAGCTGTGTCACTGATGCTCCCTTCTTCACACGCAGGTTTTCGCTGACATATTTGACGGATGAAGACACCTGCTCCCAGTCTTTCTCTTTAGCTAAGGTAAACGTCTGGGGATAAGTTAAGCTAACCAGCTCCGGACTCAGGCTTCATATTCATATCTGACTGACGGGCATCAATCTTCTCATATGACTTCAAAAAACTTTATATAAATTTCTCTTCTCTAAAAATAAACTTAGTCAGAAACAAGACAATAGTTTTCTTGGCGTGTGTTTGGGATACTAATGTACAGTGATACATTAACATTTTGTGCTCAGGGCAGATCTCGCACTTCACAAATAATGAAGTCATTAGCCAGTATTCCCTCTGCCCCCCCTCATTCCAGTCTGAAGATATTGTTTGTTCTCCAACAATTGACATTTTCACAATTTGACATATTCATTTGGCTGCTAATATATATTTTCTTTTCCCTTCAGAGTCCGAATACTTTCCATTTTCATTAATGACTAACTGAAAATATACCAGAATCAGCTTTAGAGAGCTCAGCATGTCTAATGTGTGTGTCATTGTCAAATATAAGTGATTCAATCCCCAGGAATACTACCAATGACCTGGGCTCGGTGTCCTCAGAGGTGGATCCAGCGTTGGTTATGTTGTGGAGGCAGGATAAAGAGAAGACATGGAATTGATGCTTCACTTTATTGTATTTAATCCACTCTGTAAATATTATTAATTTACTGAAATGTATTGAGACATCAGTTTAATGCCTGACAAGGATTTTCATCATTGTGATGACGCCACCGAAGCGCGGCGTTGTCAATTGCTTATTTCCTGAAATTAAATGTCAGCTGGGATTTTCCATTTTTGTTTCTGAACTTAGACTTGACAAATGTCATATTTACGATCGGATTTATTAGATGCACTCGAAGGCAGTTTGTCATTTTAAATGCAAAGAGAAGATTGAGAGGGACTGAACAACGGCAGCTTTATTATAACGTATAAATCACAGACTCTTCGTTTAAACTACCTGACATTTATTAATATGAAGTAAGTAATCATGCAATATATGATCATTTAAGTCGTCTTTAAAATCACTTCAGATGGCAAACGTTCACTGACATTGTCTTATTGAAATCACAGTCACATCTTAGTAATCTGGTTTTTAAAAATCAAATGTTCTCTCCTTTACACGACAACATTAATTAGTCGTGGAAAAGTCTGTTAAAGGTTGTAGACAAATGTGTGTGAGTGTGATTCAAAGACTGAGCTTGCCTTTAAGATGCAGTTTTATTTTGCAATAAAAGCTGACAATGATTTACATCTTAATTTGGTAATTAACTCTCTGAGTTGTCTTGAGACTTATCACCGTATCATAAAGACACGTGGAGCCTTGTTCTTGCATAAATATAATTGATTTCTGCTTCCTGTCATTATTCTTCAGCGCTGCCGCTGAGAAATGATGAGTGTGAAAAACATTGTTTTTTTTTACTTCAGAAAAATGCTAATTCAAAAAGCACTCAGAGGAACAACTGTTCGTTTAGTGTCGGATAATATTTAGGATGGAATTTCTCAGTCAGAAATGATAAACTGTACAAAAAGATGGACGACGTGACCGCTCCCCAAAGGTGGAGCCAAATCTTCTTGATCGCCCCCTGGTGGCTGGCTACAGTAGAGGTATATCCGGGATATTTTGGAGGAAGTAGAGATGTGACATCCATCATTATTTTCAATCTTTCAAAAATACATATAATTCAGTTACATCCGAGCAGAAACCAGCGCCACACAGTTCCTCCTTGTGACCTGGAGTCATTTCTGGTGTGTGAGATGAGGTCTGACGTGAAGCATCTCACAAACGTGTGTCACACTCTTTCTCTCTCCTTCTCTCTCGATCTCTCTCTCCCCCCAGTGAGCTGAGAGATTTACACCAACAACTGTATAAAATATTCAAAGATCATCCCCATCCATCAAAGACAGATACAGCTTAGTACACTGTCCCAGTATTCATACTGTGCATGTCTTTCTATGGTCGTGAAGACAAACTACATTTTGGTCGGTCCGCACAATTAATCATCGACAGAGTTATTTGACAGTTGAGACAAAAGACTACAAAGATGGACGACGTATCTCCACCTCCTCCGGCTATCCACAAATGAAGTCAAAACATCCCAGATACAAACCATCTGCCATCTTGAGCCAGTGACATAATTTGGAGGCAGAGTATTCACAGCAGCGATCAGGGAATTGGGCAACGGTATCTGGGTCGTGCCGACACACACACAATCATGACATTTCACCCCATTCTGTAGCATCGAATGACAAATTAAAACCAAACTAATCAGAAACGTGAACACTAGTTATGTCCCCAACATCTGCTGGTGGCCGCTAACATCCGCTAACATCTGCTAACATCTTCTGGTAGTTGGTGACTTATATTGTGCAGAAGATCTTCAAACGCACAAGAAACATTCTTCCTCCTGTCCTACATTCTAAAAAAATGAGTTTGGTCCATGTCCCACCTGCTAACATGGAGAAGGTAGGGTTTATAACCGGTTTAGCAGGGTCAGGGTTAGAATGTGTGTGTGTTTAATATGCTGCAGTGTGGGATGGAAACCCGCTGGGTATGAAAATGGGGGGAAGCAGAAGAGTGTGTATGGAG